CCAATTGAAATCCCAACACTATACTTCACAGAACTAGAAAGAAGAATCCAAAAATTCATTTGGAACCATAAGAGACCTGCATTAGCAAAAGCCATCCTAGGCAACAGACACATGGCAGTGGGTATAACAATTCCCAATTTGAAACTATACTACAAAACCACTGTGATAAAAACAGCATGGTACTGGCAAAGAAACAGACCTGAGGATCAGTGGCACAGATTGGAAGACACAAAAACAACTCCAGATGCACTCAGCTACCTCATCTTTGACAAAGGAGCTGAAAGTCCCCACTGGAGGAAAGATAGCCTCTTTAATAAATGGTGTTGGAAAAACTGGATCTCAACCTGCCAAAGATTAAAATTAGACCCTTACCTGTCACCATGCACTAAATTAAAATCCAAGTGGATTAAAGATCTAAATAGTAAAACAGAAACACTAAACTTGCTGGAAGATAAGTTAGGCAGAACTCTGGAAGACACTGGCATAGGAAAAGACTTTATGAACAAATCCTCAGTAGCACGGGAACTAGCAGAAAGAATCAACAACTGGGATCTCATCTTATTAAAAAGCTTCTGCACTGCAAAAGAAACCATCAACAGAACTAAGAGACAACCTACAATTCGGGAAAAACTTTTTACCAGATGCTCCTCAGACAAAGGACTATTATCTAAAATATATAAAAAACTCAAAACAACCAGCCCCCCAAATATAAAGATCCAATTCTAAAATGGGCATCTGAAATGAAAAGAAATTTCTTAAACAAAGAAATAAAAGCAGCAAGTAAATATATGAAAAAGTGCTCCACATCACTGGTCATTCAAGAGATGCAGATGAAAACAACACTGAGATTTCACCTCACCCCACAACGAACGGCTGCTACCAAGAAATCACACAATAACAATGTTGGCGCAGTTGTGGGGAGAAAGGAACCCTTCTCCATTGTTGGTAGGAGTGCAGACTGGTTCAACCACTATGGAAGTCAATATGGAGATACCTTAAAGAACTAGGATTAGAGGTTCCGTTTGACGCAGCCATCCCTCTGTTGGGTATCTTTCCAGAAGAATTAAAAGAATCATACCACAGTGATATATGCACACCCATGTTTATAGCGGCATGGTTTGTAATAGCTAAAACTTGGAAACAGCCCATCTGCCCATCAGTTGGAAACTGGATAAAGATGATGTGGTTTTTCTATAAAATGGAATACTACTCAGTCATAAAGAATGAGAAAGTAGATTCATTCAGAGGTAAATGGGTACATTTTGAGGATATACTCCTAAGTAAAATAAATAAATCACACATATGCAAATACTGAATAGTTTCTCTGGTGTGAAAAACTAAAATAATACTCAAGATCCTAATGGGACAATTAGCAACGTGAAATAGGAAGAAAAGGACCAAAGGTGTAGGGCCAGTGAGAAGGATAGGGAAAGGGGAACAAGGGAAAAGGAAAAATATATGAGAAAATGTAAAAATGGAATTAAAGTGTTTGAAGGTGGGGAGGAGAGGAGGGGTGATAGGGAGGGTGGAGACACGGGGAAAAAATGAGAACCAAGACCTGGCATGTAAAGGTACAAGATCCCAGTAATGAATGTAACTGTACCGTCTACCTAGAATGTACCAATAAATTCAATTTAAAAGGAAAAAAAACTGTGTGATGAAATAAACATTTCTTCTTTAAAAAAAAAAAAAGAAGAAAGTAGGTACAATGTTAAAAGATAGAAAAGGTTATACCAAGCCAATAGTAACCATAAAAACACTAAAGTGGCTGTACTAGTATCAGACAAAATAGACTTTAAGAAAAATATTTAAATGATAAGATCAATTCATCAAGAAGATTAAACAATTATAAGTATGTTTGCAACTATAGTAGAAAACCAAAATACAGGAAATAAAACATGACATGATTGAAGGGAGAAATAAACTGCTCAACATTCTTAGAGAGCCCAGTAATCAGCTTTCAACAATGGATAGAACAACCAGACAGCACATCAGCCAAGAAAGAATAGAGAAGAACAACACTTGAAAAGGAAGAACAAACAAACAAAAACTAGGTCTGATGACTTTTAAGAGATTTCACCCAAATAAAATACACATTCTCTTTAAATATGTAGGGGACATCCTCTAGGATAGACAAAATTATTAGGATTAAAGGAATTGTCCTGTAAACACACACATGGGCGCACACATACACAGGAATATCAGTTTCAAAGAAGAATGAGATCATGTCATCTGTGGGAAAGTGGATGAAACTGGAGATCATCATGTTAAATAAAATAAGCCAGACTCAGAAACACCAATATTGTATGTTTTCTCTCAGATGTGAAATCTGTGCTTGGTGGAGAGATGAAAGTAAAAGTGGTTCTACTTGGGAAGAGAAAAAGACCAAGGGGAATTGGGGTGGGTACATTGTATGCAAGTATGATAATGTCACGGTGGAGCCTTTTATTCTGAACAATTCTGTCTAAAACTAACAAAGGGGCAGCCAGATGTGGTGCATCCATGCTGCATTAGGCAGCCATGACCAGAAGTGAAGATCCGAAACAGGCAATGGCATGGAGGAGCTCTGAAAACTTTAGGCTTAAACGACTACACAGTGTGTGATTCCATTTATACTATATGTTCAGAATGGGAAAATCTATGGAGAGAGAAAGTAGATTCAAAATGCTCAGGGATTAGGTGGGGGTGGGAAGTGAATGCTAATGAATGTAGGGTTTCGTTGAGATGATGAAAATGTTCTAAAATGCATAGTGGTGATTGAGGCAGATAATAAAAACCACTGAACTGTGTCTAAAATGGTGAATTTTATGGTTGATGAACCATATCTTAATTTTTTAAATGTCCAGTTATTTCAATTTTGAGACATTTTGAGGAAAATTGTATGTTTTGATTCATTTTTACATGATAAATTTAAGATGGGTTACAAATACTAAATGTGAAAAATGCGATCATTAAAATTAGATCTTAAGGCTGGGCATGGTGGCGCACTCCTGTGATCCCAGCACATGGGAGGCTGAGGCAGGAAGATCTCCATGAGTTCAAGGCCAACCTGGACTACTTAGTGAGTTCAAGGACAGCCTAAACTACATAGCAAGACTCACATGATAAATTTAAGATGGGTTACAAATACTAAATGTGAAAAATGCGATCATTAAAATTAGATCTTAAGGCTGGGCATGGTGGCGCACTCCTGTGATCCCAGCACATGGGAGGCTGAGGCAGGAAGATCTCCATGAGTTCAAGGCCAACCTGGACTACTTAGTGAGTTCAAGGACAGCCTAAACTACATAGCAAGACTCTCTCAGAATATTAAAATGTGACACTTCTGCACATCAGCATCATAACTGAAATTAATGAAAAGTTGATCAAGAGAAAATATTTGTAGCATATATGACAATGGATTAATGTCTAGAAGGTAGAAACACATTTAAAAAGGAACATAAATACAGAAGGTACAAAAAGATATGAAACATCTTCTAAGTCACATTAGAGAAATACAAATATTCAATAAATATCTGAAATTTAATTTTTAAAAATTTTCAAAAATTGAGGCAGAGTCTTGCTATACAGTTCAGGCTCTCCTTGGACTCACTCTGTAGCCCAGGCTGTCCCCAAACTCATAGCAATCCTCCTGCCGCAGCCTCCTGAGTGATGGGACTACACATAAGTGCCACCACAACCAGCAAATGTCTGAAATTTTATATGCAAGCTCAGTAATAATCAGTAAGCTGCAAAACAAAGCAATCTTTAGACAACACCAAATTCTTAAAAGATATGTTATAGAAAGTGTTAGTCAAGTTGTGGAGAAATGGGCACTGACGTGGACTGGCAGGTGCAAGCATAAATTGGTACAATCTTTTTTGGGAAAATCTGGCAGTGTATTTCAACATAAGCATATTTAAAGCTAGGAATCCCATGTCTAAATAAAACCTAAGAAAAAACTGAGCACATGCACATGAAATGAAGAAAAGAAGGATGTTCGTAGCAGCCCGGCTGATAGCAAAATGCTGGGACCTTCCCAAATGTCCATCTGCAGACAAATGGTTAGAAAAGTCATCCACGGTAATTCTGTTCCATAGCCAGCCACCCACCCCCCACCGCCCAGTTCTTAAGGAAATTTCAAGGAAGAAATTCATTTTCTAAACAATACTTTTAGTCCCATTCATAGAAAGCCAAATAAAATAAAACTGTCCTAGATAAGGGAAGTGTAACTGCCACTACTTTTAATAAAGAGACTAGGTTAGGATGACTTTGAAGGTGACTTCCCTATTTATTTATACATCACTGTATTGTTCGAGTTTTCATAAAAATTAATATAATATTTACATAAAATGTTGATTTTAAAAGTGCTTATTGTTCATGATATGCCATTTAAAGCTAATTTAAATTTTCATGTAATTCAAAATAAAAATCACTGAAGAAAATTCTTACCTTCCAAATTTTCAATTTTTTCAATGTTGTTTAGAGCTAAATTCAAATATTCAAGTTTCTTGAGTTTGCTAACATTTTCTGAAATAGACAAATGACATCATTAATCTTCAAGATACAGACATTTTAATATACTCTATTACGAAAAGGATAAAGAGATGCTAAGGAATATTTTATAGTTATCAAAATCTTGTTGCTTTTTCAAGTCTTTATCTGTACCTGAAACTCGATTTCTCATGCAACATCCATTTCTCCCTCCATCTTTTGGAGTGGAACCTAGATATGCACAAGTCAAGTCTCTAACTAGCACCAACTCCGGGGCGGAGGCCGGGGCGGAGGGTGGGCAGGTTAACCAGGCGGGGTCAGTGCCTGCACAGCTATCTCTGGCTGGTGAAGGTTCTGGAACCTAAGCTTAAGCCAAGCAGCCTCTGGAAGCACCCGGCAGCCATGTGCCACAGGCCACACAGGGTATGCGCACCAGTGTGGAACAGACAGAAGGCATCAGTCTACCCTACAGTCTGCTGCACCTCAACTTTAAGTTGGGTGAAATCGCAGGCTTCCTTACTGTTAAGCTGCAGGGAGTTGGGTTTCTTTTGCTTACAACCCAAATCAACCTGATAAAGGATTCTCTTGTGTGATGAATTTGAATATTCATAAAGCAAAAACAACAAGCATAGCCAATTCAGTCAGAGAATCACCATCAAGTGGGGCTTTTTCAAAGCTGTTAAAAATAAGATACAGTTAACGAATTGTCAATTGCTTATTGTATGCCACGTGATGTTCTAGGCATTTTGCATATCTTATTTTAACCTCGTAATAGCCTCATGAAGCAAAATCTATTGTCTCCTTTTTACATATGAGAATACAGTTCTAAGGCAGGGAAAGCCCACTCACCCAAGGCTAATTGGTACAGCCAGGAAATGTGACTCTGGAAATTGGCACTGAATGGTGACAGTATTCATGTACCTTAAAAGAACAGTCCTTTGTTAGATGACATGAAAGATAATGTTCCTGCTAAGGAATGTGTCTTTGGGGCAGCCTCACTTAAATAATGCCTCTCCTGTCCATTTTCAGGGAATGTTATAAATATCAAGCAATGATAGCATAATCATCCCTTACTGCCATTAATAGCTCATCTAAAATTTTGAAAATTTGTTCCCATAGACATGAGAATAACAGTTTATCCCTCAAGGCCTCTTATCTACTCATTTCTTAAAATGAGGATGTGGGGATAAAGTTTCAACAATTAAATTATTTAAGTAATACTAATGTTTACAAAAGACTCTGGCAACATCTGAACATTAAATCGTCAACAGATTTAGAGGTTTCTTTCTGCCAAGAATTATGATAGACAGAATGTCTGGTCTGCATCCTGCATGAAAATATTCAAAATTATCACTGTTAAAATTGCCAGCCCCCAAGAAAAACCTGTTCAAAATAGAATTCCCTTTCCCCGCCTTTGTTATATGATTAGCCCTCTATATGCTAAAGAGTTATCTGGTAGAAATGCAATGTGTTTCAGAAACAATTGCCTCAATCAATTAAAGAAGCAGAGGGCCAATCTGGTTAGAAGGTAGGGGTAAAGACTCCTTAAGTAAAAATGCCCAAGACCCTCTGGGGCAGCAGAGAAGGGTTTGAGTGCTATAGTCCAAACTCTTCTGGAAGCAGGTGTCCCCAGCTGACACAGTAGGACAACCCGCTTGTAGGGGCCAAATCCTTTCTTGGGTGGAAGAACTCTGAGCCCCCAGCTTTGTGAGGCCCACAGGGAAGACACTGCAGAGGGGCATGAGTACCCCACCCCCACCGCATCAACTCCCTGCTGTGCTGGACCCCAGATGGTCTCCAGCTCCTCCAAGGCCCAACCCATCTGCACCTCCCAGGGAGCCACAGAGTGCTAGAAAAGGCATTTGTCTTGCAAGCTTCTATCTCAATGGCAGGACAGCTTCTGAATCCTGCAGAAGTAGTCTTACTCGCTAAATAAATGCCTAGCCACTTATGGGTCGCAGAGCACTGAAAAATCCCATTATTAGGATTTAAAAGAGTGTTTAATTTAAGAATACTTTGGAAGCAAAAAATTAAGCTTCCTCCCAGCTCTGAAAAAGCCTGAAATACTATGCTACTAATTAGTAATTGTGATGGACCCAGCTGCGGAGATTAAAATTTGGGGAACTCTTTTAGATTTGTACAATTAAGACTGTTTTTCAATGCCCCATGAATAAAGGCTAGTGGTTTTCTGTAACAGCCTTTTTTAATTGAACAATGTGCCAGAGTTTCTAATTTCTGGTACACTAAAAGATGCTGAAAATAATTTCTGAAGAAATATAGAGTGTTTTATTAAATCTTCAAAAGAAATGATGCAAATCTAGGCTTGTTGCAACCCTAGAGACACAACCCTAACCACCAGGGTTTCTCAGTCCCAGCAATACTCATACTTGGGGCCCAATAATTCTTTCTTGTGGGGAGATGTCTGTCCCATACTCTATATGGTTAGCAGTATTCCTGGCCTCCACCCACTGGATCCCAGTAGCACGCACCCCAATAAACACTCATCTGTGACCACCAAAAATGTCCCCAGATTTTGCACAGCACATCACCAAAGAAAGGTGGCTACAGCCCTCAAGGCTGGCCTCTGGGCTCCAAGACCAGAGCACACAAGCTCTCTACCAGCTCCATTCACTCCCTCCTTCTGCTGGCCTGGGGCACTCTGGGGTTATGAGAACATTAATAGCAGCAGCAGCACCCCACCTTGAATCTAATGAGCACTGATTCATGGTGAGTGCCACGCAAAGCATTGCTTCATGTGACCCTTCCACAATTCTGAACGGTTTATTATCAGCCTTGTTTTGTAGATAATAAAACTAAGACTCAGGCAAGTTAACTGACTTGTCTAATTTCACACAGCTTGTAAGTGTCAGAGCTCACAACCAGTCCTACCTGATGTCAGAGCCCATGCTTGCTTTTATGGTACCATTAACTGTACTGTTGCTTTTCCAAGCAGCAGCACTGCTCAGCTGTGTTCACACGGTAGGACCGCCATTAAAATGACTCTGCAGGGTTTTCTTCCCTCTGCCTTTTAGCTCATTGTTTTGGGGGTTTCTGGGGCTGAGTGTGGAAGAACAATTTATCTGATAGGTAAACTTGGAAAAGAAACTGGGCATGCTCAGTCCTATCTCTGGATCCTGGAATCTTTCTTTTAGTAAAGAGCACATGGTTTCAACCCTTTCCTACCATAAAACAAGGGTCTACCTGGATAAGGGAAGCTCATGTTTGTTATGACTCAGTAGTTAGGGTTATTATAGGGGCAGCAATTGCAAGCCCACTTGGCTGCAAATCTAACCCACACTGCTTAGAGCTTTATCACTTAGAACTTAGTATTTTGATCTTTATCCACCTGACTCCTGCAGTTAACTTTCATTTGCACTATAAACCGGAACCTCTCCAGTACCCAACTCTCAGCACAATGCCTTGCATGCAAAAAAATATGGCAGAACTAACAGTTACAGTCTAGGGTGGCCTGACAAGTTGTTAAGAGCCACAGGATCCTCTCCAGTTTTGCAGAGTAAAATCAAATGCGTGAATGACATCCTCCTCCCTGTCAAACTTTCCAAAAAACTGGGTCAGCTAAGGTGTTCCTTGCATCTAATTAATCTCCCAGCATCTTGATGGAGAATTTCTAGGGCAACAAGACTGACTACTCATGCAAAGGTTCCACATCTAACTACTGAGAGGTGTCTACATCTGTTTTCCCATGCCATTCTTTCTCAGCTACTGTTTCCCTTTAACGCTGCATTTTGCAAAGTTCTCTATCCCACAAATGTTTATAAAACCATGAGAACAAAGTATCAACACTTACCAATTTTTCCAATAAGGTTATTTTGAAGATAGAGAATTTTTAAATCCCGGCACCATTTGTCAATATGTTCCAGTCTTTCTATTTCTTGCTGATGCAAGGAGAGTTCCTCCAGGGAAAAAATTACACAGTCATTGTGTTCAGCATTCCTCCTAATAAGGTCTTCTGTGACTGAAAGAAAATTTGCAGCATATTACATTTCTGTCCCCACTGTTCATCATCTGGTTTTTATGTTACTGATGTGTTGGATTTTATTTGCAGCTAAATGTCAATACTCCAAGCCCAAATGATTTTCAAAAGGAAAGACATCAGAAAAACATTACCTCTTTCAGCAGTTTCTGTTCTTTTTGCCATGGTGTGAGGCAAAGGAAAGAAAGAGACAGAATGATGGCTTAAGTCTTGTCTTTGCATTCAAAGGTGCACCTATACCTTGCTGTATGGAGACAATGATGGCTAATGGAGATAAGAATGTTGCTATGGACACTTAAGGTGTTACCACGTCAAAGTGTACAAGATCCACAACCTGATGTGAGACAGATTAACTTCTACTGGGAGGTACAGCCTGGACAATGGGGAATAGAAATATGAAAACCTTTCCCATTATTCAGGAAGAAAAGTCCATTCTTTAGATCATTTAACCAACATGTATTCACTACAGCTTAAGAGAAAAGAAAGGAATGCCCCAGGTCTTGGATTACAATTTTTATAAAGCAACAAACCCTTGTTCAATTGTGAGGAAAATTAAAAAGCTGCTCCCATTAGGAGCAGAGATGAAAGCTCCCACCCCTACCAAGAATGGTGAGCTGCACTGGGCTGCTCAGACTCATGCGGTGGGAGACAATACCATGGTTCACTCCTGGAGCCAGGGACAAAATCGGACCCATATTTGCAAAATGATAGACCTCCTACAAATGAAAACAGGACCAAGAGATGCAGGGAGGGGAAGACTGGAGAAGGGGGTGCTAAAGGCTTAAGATATGTTATGTACATGGACCAACTCCCAGCGGTGAGTGTTATCATTGTGCCCTGCAAACATGTACTGATAAAAATAAAACACCCTGAAATCAAAAGGGCAAGGACAATGGAAAAATCCTGTACTTCCCAGTGCTATTAGAAAGTTATTGACCTATTTAAATCCACACGAGTTAGGTAGAGTGTGGGAATATTGCATGTCCACTCCAACAGATAATGAAGACTTACTCATTGTCACTTAGAAGATGCCAGGTATTGCCGTAAATGCTTTACATGCATCAAAGTACAAATATGCAAAGTGACTGCATGCATTTCTCCAGTGAGAGACTGAAGCACAGAGAGTTTCAGTGACTTCTCTGGATCTTGGCAGTAAGTGCTGGAGCCAGGTTTTAAATTCATAAAACCAGACCATGCACTCTTAGCTACTATGTTACACTGCCTCACACATGAGCAAAGGCTTCTCTTTAGGCTTCTGAGGCTTCTCAGAAGTATCACTTGTGTGCACACTGATTTGGTTCACAGCACCTTTGGCTGCTTCTGTCTATGCTGCATCCTTAAAAATGTAGCCTGTCTTTTTCTAAATGTAAAACCTGGGTGATTGGGTTGTTTGCAATGACAGTTCTTTAGAAGAAATACGAGGGAACGTAGAAGCCCAGAAATTAAAATACCATGTGTGAGTAATGTTCTTGCGGCTCTAAGCTTTGACTCAGCTGACAGGCAGACATGCTACAAACTCAGGTGTGGAAGAGGCAGGTCAAAGTGGCTTAAAGGAGGTTGAAAGACAGTTACACCAGCCCCAGTGCTGTGATCCCTACTGCATTTGCACCCTGCTGTCTGTCCCTGGAATGTCACTACTACTTTGTAGGGCAGCTTACACAGACTGATCTGTTCAAGGAAAAGAAAACAAACAAACAAACACTTCCTAAAGACCAAGTATGAAAAAAGCTACCCTCCTACAGTGGTTTGTTCTAATGTTCAACCCAATAATAATAAATAAATGGGCACAACCAACGTGAGTATAGATAAAGATGCTCTGTAAACTAAAAGGAATTGTCCCTATGTAACTTATCTATAAAACATTCTGATATGAAGCAAGGGCAGGGATAAGGGGAAAAAATGAGAATCAAGACCTGTCATGTAAAGGTATAAGATCCCAATGATGAATGTAACTATACTGTATACATAAAGCATACCAATAAACTCAATGAGAAAAAAAAAAACGCATTCTTACAGCAAAGATGAAAGATGGGTTAAAGGAGTGAGATGGCATGATCAATATTACCTGAGCTATCTCAATGAAACATGGGAGTTACCACTATTAGTTCGACCTTCGATGCTGAATAGTGTGTCTGTGACTCAAATTTCACAACTTGTGGAGCAGGTAAGTATACATGAGAGGCTTTGCTTCCATTAGACCCAGAGTCCATGGGGCCAAGAGGATCTACCCATTTAGAAACTATGTGATCCCTTCTGATGGGTTTTGCTGCCCAAGGGCCCGCAAATCATTCCCCAAGGTCCTCACTGGCCACTTCTCCAGGTTCATCCCCAAAGACAGACTAAGCCATCAGGTACACACCCCTGCACCCAGTGTGTCCAAAGAACAGCTGTTTGCCAGGGATATAGATCACCTGGATAGATAATCCAGGGCATCACCTTATACATGAGTGTGGGAGGCCAGGTTATAGTCAATGGTAGGAAAGGAAGTAACAGTAGGCCAGAGGACCATCTCTCTCCAAGCCACCATGCTGTGGCACAAAACGTCTAGAAATCTGAGAAAGGTCTGTTATAAGCAGCCCCTGGGGCTGTTGTGAAGGTACAATTATCAAGGGAAGAAGCTGCATCTTATTCAGCAGTTTGATTTATAACTTGACACAAAGGCTGTTGCTTATATCCTTGCCCCAGTTCCCGGTGGAGGCTTAGTTTGGTACCCATGTTGAAGATGTAATCTATCTAACCTGAACTCCACCAGAGCTGCCATCCATAGTTAGGTCGAATGTGTTCAGGAAAACTGTGGTAGCATCTAAGCATCACCTGGTCTCTGGCCTTCTATAGGCACATGAGCATCAGCACAGCCCACCTGGCTCTTGGGACCACTAAGATATCTATTCACTTCTGGGAAGATGGCAGAGTGGCATGCAGCAATAAACTATCCTCTCCAAGAATGGAATCCAGACTCTGGAAAATAACAACTTGGGGAAGAAATAAAGGAGGGAGATGGATCCCTGGGACCCAGGAAGGATCTGAAGGGGCAATTGGAGCCTACAGAGAAATTGAAGAGACAGAGCACAACATAGTAAAAGGAAGGGACAACCTGTACATTCTCCCTGGCTCCTGGCTTGTGTTAAGAGAAAGGAAAAATCACATCTAGAGAGACACAGTGAAAGTGAGCAAACCCAGAGGCCTTCAGGGAGAAATGCACCAAGTAGAATGGAGCAGTGGATGCTGAGCACTATTAATATCCAGTGAGTGACTCCAGTCCAAGCATCTGCCATGTCCCCTGGAGAAGGTGCCTGGTCAGATGCTACTGTAGGAAGAGGTCAACTGAACTTGGGACTCAGAACTGTCATGGGTTGGCTTCAGCTCAGGGAACCCAGTGTTAAACTCCCACAGTGACTGGGTGACAGACAACTACCGGAGACATCCATAGTTAGGGAGCTAGGGTCAGGCTGGCAAGAGAAGACCATAGTGCTACAAGCTAAATGACTCAGGCTTCACCCCATGACCAGAAGCCAGGTTTAACCTGAACTTTTATAGATTTGAAAGTTTCAAAACCAGCACCGAGCCCTACTCCTACTGCCGGCTTGCTGGGATTATCCAGCACAAATATAGGCTCTGATTGCCTCCCTTTTGAGAGCAGAGCCATGCCTTGAATTGGACACTGCCATAAAACTGGAGACCCCAAAGGATAACCACAGATAAATTTCTTTTTTATTTTCTGTTTTTTTGATTGCTTATTTTTTGTGTGTATGGATTTTAGGTTGTTTGTTTTGTTGTTGTTTTTGGTTTCTCCTTCTTTTCTTCCCTCCTGTCTTCTTAAGCAGTTTCCCTAAGCTTGGGTAATCTTCCTTTGTACTTCAGCCTTACTTCTAATCATTTTCCTTATTTGTTTTCTGTTTTTCCATTTCTCCCTTTAAAAATTTCTTCTTTAAGATAAAATCACTATGGAGTGGATATCTACTGCACACAATTTTCTGATTTATCTTAGATTTTGTTATAAAACTATAAATGTTTTACAAATCAGGTGGCAAATCATTAGTTGTCATAGTTTGTCATTTTCCAGTCTGTGGCATTATTGTTACTACTGATTGTATTACTTTAGCTGAGGTGACATAGCTGTTTTGATCAATTGATCTTCCTTATATGCTAATGCCTAGATTGGCTGGGGGTCCTAAACAATATTACAGCCCAGTGCCAAAGAACTGGGTGCTAGGTGCCAAATAGGCTGCAACCTTTCATCCCTACTAAACAGAAGACACAGGATCCTGGGACAGACTCAATGGGCAAAAGTCGGCCATTCCTAGAAGATATCTGTGAAAGGTAACTTCCTTAAGAAGTCTTGATACTAGGTATAAAGCTACCTACAAGAAGCAATTCACAAGCCTCAATGCAGAACACAAGTAAACAAAAAGTTGAAAATGAGAAAACACCAAAGCAAGAAGAAACCCATAATCCCCAACTTGCCCAAGGCAAATCCAGGTGGCCTTGAGGTAGAAGAAAAAAGCTGCTAAACTGAATGCTCTGAAATGGTAGTAGCGGCAGTCATACAATGGATGACTAAGTTACTTGACAAAATGAAAACAGAAATAATTACAGAGATAATTAAAGAGGTGATGACCATAATGCAGGAAATGATTATTGAATCTACACTTGATCTTAGCCAAAAGGCCGAGAAGCGATGATTATTGAATCTATAGCAGACATAGATTGAAAAAAGAAAAGAGGTGCTTAGGAAAGACAAGGAAACCATGAATGTCCAAAATCAGAAAGAACTGGAGTCTAAAACAGATTTAAAAAGATTAAAAGTTCTATTGATTTTTTTTTTTTTTTTTTTTTTTTTGATACTGGGGATTGAACTCGCTTCCTTGTGCTTGCATGGCCAGCAGTGGAACCACTGAGCTAAATCCCCAGCCTCTAAAAGTTCTATTGGAAGTATACACAGCAAAATAAACCAATGTTAAGACAGAATATCAGGTCTAAAA